CTATCTATAACTTTTGTTCATGTGATGAAATCTAGAACTGATGAGATATAAAACTAAAAGGATTCTGTCACAGACGTCATTGTCACTTGTGTCACAAGACCCAGTACTGGCACTCTGGCAGTAGTAGACTTTACATTGTAGAGTGGTTTTTTCATCTCAGCCTCTCAGGTGACACCGTGACTGACACAAACTGAGTGGAGTGTCTGTGAGACTGTGACTGTGTTTCTGCGTCCAGCGTCACCTTGTTGTTGTCAGCAACAACGCCAACAAGTTTTGGATTAGGCCTATGTTTAGCTAAGTTGAGTGCTAACCCAAAGTGAAAGTAAAAAATTGTGAAGGAACCACCCGTGGTACCACGGTGGTAGGTACCGTGTATGGTACAAAAATGCTTGGGCTGCCAGGTGGTGGCACTGGTGGTGCAGGATTGGTATTTCCCAGCTTGTTTCTGAAATCTCGCAGCTCCAACATGACTTATTTTTAATACATTTGGAATCTTGTGGCCTGATCATGCACTTTTGTTGACAATTGGATAGGAGGCGGGCATGGAATAATGAATATATCTTCTTGGCAAGCTGCGACTGAATTATTGGAGCCGTGGTTCTAACTTCTATGGATTTGCCAGCCGTGATTCCATTTCTCCGAGTTATGAATTCCATATCTTAGCCATTAAAAGCAATTTACAAGCTGGCAGCCACAAAATTTTTACTATTGTGCACGTGTTATCCCTAATCTCTAATTTTACCCTAAAAACAGTCTAGTACTAGTAGTACACTAACATTTGTCTTGAGTGGCAACTGAACTGATCATGTGATAATGCAGTCTGACCTGACCAGGGTCACATGCAAAGAGTGATGAAGATTTGAAGATCTTTGAAGACACATTAGCAGAAAAATTTACATCTCCGAAGATCTTCGCAATGCCATTTAATAATCTTCCTGGAGCTTTGGCAATGCAGCCAATCTTCCCAAAGCTTCAACAATGGTTTTTGCACAGCAACAGTTTCCGCAAAAGCACAACAAAAGAACAAAACACCAATGAGCTGTCTGCAGGTTGTGGCATCCAGGCCCAGCTATGTCTAGGACAAATTTACGGCCAGACTTGAGGCCAGTTTTGCAGCAGGACTCACAGCCAGTCTCCCCAAATTCAGTGAGCATGGAATATCTCACAAAGTAATGAACATAGCTTGATGAAACTTGGTACACGTATTATTAGGACCTAACAGTGATGTTTAGCTCATTCATATTTTTTAATTTCACTTTTATTCGTGAGTTATATGACAATACTTGCCAAAATTTGCAGTGAGCATGACATTTCTTCTAAACTACTTTACAGATTTACAGAAATGAATAAATTAAATAATTATTGAGTGCCATCATTGGAGTTGTCATGATATACTGTGACGACACTCAACCCTGATGCCGTCACTGATGACGTTGTTGAAGGCACTCAACCCTGATTACGACATTCAACCCAAATGATGGCACTGATGACATTGTTGAAGGCACTGAACCCTGATGACAAAACTCAACCCTGATGACAGAACTCAACCCAGAGTGATGATACATGATGACACTGATGTTGTTGAAGGCACTCAACCCTGATGATGACACTCAAACCTGATGACAACACTCAACTCTGATGACAACACTCAACCCTGATGATGGCACTAAGCCCTGATGATGGCACTCAACCCTGATGATGGCACTAAGCCCTGATGACGACACTCAACCCTGATGACGGCACTCAACCCTGATGATGACACTCAACCCTGATGATGACACTCAACCCTGATGATGACACTCAACTGTGATGACTGCACTAAACTCTGATGATGGCACTCAACCCTGATGATGGCACTCAACCCTGATGACTGCACTCAACCCTGATGACAGCACTCAACCCTGATGACGGCACTCAACCCTGATGATGGCACTCAACTCTGATGACTGCACTCAACCCTGATGACGGCACTCAACCCTGATGACAGCACTCAACCCTGATGACGGCACTAAACTCTGATGACTGCACTCAACTCTGATGATGGCACTCAACCCTGATGACAGCACTCAACCCTGATGACAGCACTCAACCCTGATGATGGCACTAAACCCTGATGACTGCACTCAACTCTGATGACGGCACTCAGCCCTGATGACGGCACTCAGCCCTGATGACGACACTCAACTCTGATGACTGCACTCAACCCTGATGACAGCACTCAACCCTGATGACGGCACTCAACCCTGATGATGGCACTCAACTCTGATGACTGCACTCAACCCTGATGACGGCACTCAACCCTGATGACAGCACAACCCTGATGGTGACACTTGACCCTGATGACAGCACTCAACCCTGATGACAGTACTCAACCCTGATGTCGACACTCAACCCTGATGACAGCACTCAACCCTGATGACAGCACTCAACCCTGATGACAGCACTCAACCCTGATGTTGACACTCAATCCTGATGACAGCACTCAATCCTGATGACAGCACTCAACCCTGATGATGGCACAATGAAAATTTTGTTAACTTTTTTTATTATTGTGTGCGGAGTGCAAACCGCAATTTTTTCAATCAAACAAAAATACATGACATTGGAGCCATGAGATTTCATACCTACTAAAATTATATGATATTAGAGCCACAATATTTCAGAAAAATAGGACTTTTCCAGTCCTGATAGGAGGTATTGAGGCAGAATTCATCTGGCAGAAATATTGTGGTTTTGGAAATGTGCGTAAACCTCTAGTTGCGGCCCTAAAGGTAGATGTGTTCCACGCTTGGGGCGGTGCTGCGGCGGGCATAGTGTCAGAGCACAGAGCAGAGACTTTTTAGAATCATCCTCAAGTGCATTTTTGAGTCCTATACGTAGACCAGTAAAGTAGTATCATCAGCTCACATGCATACCTCATATACCAGCATTATCACACATAAGATATAGAATCAAACCTCAAATATTTAGTTGAAGAGGAAAGTGAAAAAGAACAAATCCTAAAATTCTGTGGTTTGACTGTGAATTGACACTACCTATGCACCCATGAATTGAAGCTTGCCAATTTCACACACCCCTTAAGCCTTTTTCCAATTTCTTACATGGAGAATGAGAAAAATGGCCTATTTTTACAACACATCTCTTCAACTTCACTTCTTTTTGTTTGTTTGTCTGCTACAAATCTTTTAATCAATATTTAACACACTTAGAACTCCCTGTCTAATTGATCTGAAATTTTGCACACTTGTGTAAAGTAAGAGACTGTGTGAATCAATTGACCAAATGAATAATTTGAAAAATTTAAAGAAGTTTTTAAATATTGAAAAAATGTAAAACTAATTTTTTTCAAATATTCAAAAATAAGATAAGAAATTCATTATACATATGTAGAATTTACATTATACATATGTAGAATATGTATAATGAATGTATGTACAATTCATTATACATATTCTAGAGGGGTTTTAAATTACCAAATCATAGAAGCATATTGGAAAGACCAGCACATAACCAATCACAGTCTAGTATCTGGATAAGAATAGGATGAAATCTCAACTAATCTCAGCTGCGATGGGAAGGGACATGTCTCAACCCAAAAATTGAAGTAACTTTAAAGCACCCTTTTTAGAGTTTTTTAGGTCTTGTTTAGGTTTTATGTCTGTCTTTGAATTTTGACTTTTAAAGTGATTTTATTCATTTTTAGTTTAGTCGAACTGATGATGGAGCTGGACTCCGAAACGTTTTCAATATCCATATGGTGAATTTTCTTGGCGTTTTCTTTGCTTTTAAATTCCTTGTGAACTTGCGATATAAGCAGACTAATGATATAAGTACCCCATACATTAGCATGTCTGATCATGGTGGAATTCTAGGGAATGGTTGGTCAGTTAGATCCACCAGGCTGAAGCGCTGTATTTTTGTATTTCATATACCTTAATTCACAACAGCTTTTGTAGTTTCCTTCCTGATAGATTTAATCATTTATTGATATATTATTCATTCCTTCATCAATAAACAAATTGGTACCTACATGATTAAGAGAAAGGTTTCCTAATTTTTGGACAAATTTCCTGATGATTCAGATGCAGATTCTAAAGTCAATGGACAAATTTTCATATTTATATTATATTGTGGATTGGCATTTTATAATGGATTGGCAAATTTCTTGAGTTATAGAATTTTGTGAAATATTATGTAGGCAGATTATTTACCATGTCTCTTGGGTCTCATAAGATTTAATCTGCTTTTTGATGCCATTTGTACATCATCATGAAGACTTGTTCATATTAAAAGACTCAAGTAAATATAGTATAGGTATATATATATATTATAGGTATAGTATAGGTAATCACTATGTTATGAAGTTCCTCTAATAATTGACAAGCATGCATTCTCTTTTGATAAACTGTCAATGCTCATTACTTGTGTTAACATGCTATACCATGCAAATGTTAGTTGACTTACTGTTGCAACCTTAATTCTTTTTAATACCATCTGGAAACTTTGTTCCAGCTTTAATATTATGAACTGATTTATTATTCAATTAAAAGTCAGAAGGTTTAAATGGTCATAACTGTGGCTGGTTTGAAGCTCGCTGTACCCAGCTATTGAAATTACAGTGAGAGACTGGGATGTCAATTGACAAAGTTTGGAGTGACAGAAGTTGTATTCTTCCATTTATGTTGTTTCCATTAAGATACTGCATTCCCTTGGACTATGTGCATTTGCCTATGTGTCTCAGGAATCATCCCTTATCTATTGCTTTGCCAGATTGCTGCTTTTTTGCCAGCAATTCTTTTTTTCAGTTTAGATGTAGAGGTTTCTTTTGCTATATTTCTTTATTTTGGGTGCTAGATTTAGCTTTATTGTCATATTAGACATTTGTATTATTTCATTCTTTACTTTATGTAAAATTATTATTTTGGCCTCTTGTGGTATATATAAGTAGGTATATCACTTAGACTGTTTGCTTTAATTCAGTTCCCTTCCTATTAGTACTCTACATAGACTTATGCTTCTATTGCTAAATTCTGCATGTTCTTGCGATTGAACTTTTTCTTCTGCAACAAAATCCTTAGGATTTAATTCTGCATTTGCCCATAAAGAATAAGTATGTGCTTGATGCCTATGCACTTCTCTTCGCTTTGGAGGCATTTTGGCCACATGAACTTGTGCTGGAGTATCTATGCAGACCGCCATGTCAACATTGCCACCCGTCCTACCAGAAGGTGAGAAATCGAGAAACTATGACGAGATTCATATAGGTACCATGATTAAAGGATCATTATCTGAAGTAATTATTTGCAGAAATGTAAATCTTGATGAAAGTTAATAATACCTAAAACTTGTTGACCATAGACAGCACCTTGCTCCTAAATTTGAGAAACATTCATTTGGTTCAATTTTTTTCTAATGACACTCCTGGGACTTCGAGCTTCAACCCCTGTTCTTCTGGGAAGCAACTGCCCCAGCAAAATACTTTTCTATCAGATAAAAGATCGTTCCAAATTATTGTTAATTCTGAATTAACTTTCAGCCAAACAAGCTGCTATTGTACAGCACAATATATTAATTATTTACGAGCACGTAAGTTTTTCAAATACATTCACTCACAATGTTTAAGCCCTTTGCATCAAATATTTAAACTCTAAACCATAATGTTGCAAACCTTTAACTTTATATATGTTAACACCATGATCATTAGATGTTTTTTTATCAACGTAGAAAGTTAATTATAAATTGTTTCATAATAAAGAAGGCCGTTTCCGTTGCTCACGGCTAAGCTTGGATGGATCTTCTGGGAGCTCGTTGATCCCACAACCTCTTTCATAGTCTTTGCTCAATCTTAGTTTCTAACTTATTTCAAACCTCATCTATTTTTCTGTAAAATTGCATGTTTACATGAAGTTTTATTACTATGTAGCGGTCTCATTCAGGATTTTGAATTAATGTAATAAAATATTTAGAAATTTAGAATTAGATTTAAATTGTAAGAATAAGATTTTCTTTATTTATGAACGTCACCTCGATGAATACAACATCCGTAGTTAACTTAATTCCAACTTTTAGTATTTAGATTCATTTCACCGGAACCTCTTATTAGAGTAAGTACCAAGTCTTGCCTCTGTAATCGCATAGTAATTACTCTGTTAAATAGATGAACTTATTTATAATGATTATAATCTTTTTCTATGTACTTGAATTTGTGTAACTTGAGATTATCTGTTGTTCATACAGGGTTCTATACCGAGAGCAAAAAGTGTCTTTATTTGTCCCCAAATCAACGTGAGACGCTTTAACTATTTGCTGAATCTGTTTATATCCATTATCTACGGAACTGTGGTGAAAATTTGCTTTAGAAAATGATTTGTAGGCCATTGATGCAACTTACTTATTTTATTCTGCGCATTTCTCTAAAATTCTTGCAACTAAAACAGCCGTTATGAAGGCGCTGACATTGTGTTTCACGACTATGTAATGTGTTTCTTTACGATAATTATACTTTGAATAGGCATAACCTCTATAGGCTCGTATGCCAGTCAAACCATAAATGGTCTTGTAAAATATGCCGAACGCTCACACAACAAATATGGGATAAACATAGTCCGCTGCTCTCAGAATGGCTTGGCTATTGGCCTTATGGAAGTTTTTTGGTTGATGTTTTTTCCTTGGTATATATACGTCTAATTATATTTTCACGAAGGACGTCATGGTACTTTGATGACAATTTTTCGGGAGGTTTCATGGTATCTGCTTGGTTGTTTGCATAGTATTTGGATGTTTGGTTTCACGGTAATAATAAAGTATTTAAATTCTTTTCTACTATACCAAGGTACTTCTACCTACTCCTTCTCCTATGCCTTATATTGTGCCCCACCACCCATGTGCGTGAATCATTCTGCACATGCTTGTGCTATTCCTACCCGGACTAATGAATACAGTCAGCACCGGGCAATTTCAATGTTTAATGGATAAGTCATGCATTGTATGATAGTGTGCATTTGACGCTCCTCGTGAGTTCGAGCTTCATGGTCGAAGTTGCGGTCAAGTTCAACGGTCAGCAACTATCTGTACAAGGTTGCAGTGTGTATGAGGTAGCACAAAGGTTGCGGTACCTCAATGATTTTGCATGAACTTAAATTTGGTCCTTATTTATCACTGTATTATTGCTGGCATATATTTTTATCGGCCGCCATGAAGCTCCCGTAGTTTTAGACTCAACGTTTTTTTATCCCGAATAGGTTATCGGTGTATAATCTGTATATTCAAAGTAGAAATTGGACACATTACCCTCTGTTCTCTAACGTTCCGGTGCCATTGGATTTTTTCAGATAAAGAGTATAAAGTCGTCATATTTCGAAGAATTCAATGCATCAAAGTCATGCCTAAACTTGATTTGCTCACAGAGACCATACAGGCGTATGCAACGGTATCCATATCGAGCATCATTAGTTTCTGAGTGACCAGGTTGGTTCTTACTGATTATCTTAAGTTTTTATTCCTGCATGTTCCCCTTGCACACTTAAGATTTATATAATCCTTTCCGCAGTGACGAGTCAACATTCGAGTGCAAACTTATAAGCGCAGTATTAGCTAAACTTCTTATTATTCAAAAATGAATTTTTATTTACAAGTGTATTAAGCACGTGACACACTGCCTTGAACAATGCACTCACGAATGAATATGGAAGGTAACAGGTTGTGTCTTCCACGAGTTTTTGTTTCATTTCTCATGTACGCCTTTGTGTATAATTTAAGGCGTACCAACTCGTGTACTGGAAAACTACCCCAAAATCGTGTGACTCTCACAACGAGACGAGGAACTACATCACCACATAAAGGTGTTAACATCACCATTAAAGGTGTTAATATCCTTAGCGCACTCACTGGCCACTAAGGGTGTGAGGAAAGCTTTGCTCATGACCACAAACCATTATTTTGTTTCGTGTATCCTATTCATTATTGATTTCAAGTTACATCGCGTGTTTCAGTAATACTTGGGATCAGACATATAGTCTTGTGCAGCGCTGTCATACTGTTGTGTACACGTAAAGTTGTCCTCGGGAGCCCGATCACTTGCTTTGCAGCTAGCGACTCCATGGCCGTTTATAACGTGAAAAGAGCTGTTATATTAGAAATTATTAGGATTTCGGCGGGATATAGAACTGTGCGTTGTTACTGATGCTCTAAGTCTACTTACATTTCCGTTGTCATTGTTGTTCTATCGTGTCTTTTATTTCTTGAATATTTTGCATTTCACCATTGAAACCGCTTTACTTATTCTTCTAATCGTTTTTTTGGTGACATTTGGTTCGAACAAAGTTATTTGCCAAAGGCTGGAACTGGTCGGGTTTGCATGGAGAAGTAATAACATCGATAATTATTGCTTTTCGGTTACATCGTTAAACACTCGCTTCTCAATTACTTAGTTAATCGATTTTAATATTTGTGTTCAGAGCTTAGATGGAATTCACCAACTGCAAGCATGATGTTAAGAACTTCAAAAGTAAGGCGATCACCGCGTTAGGGTTTGCATATGCATAGAGCTCCTGCATTGTTGACCAGCCAACGCTCTGCTGTTGTGTTGAACTGCGCGATCAATCATAAACTGTACTTAGCTTGACAGACTCCAAAAACCTTAACCGCAACCAGTGATGTTCTGTGACAGTCGCCCAGAGATTTACTGGGTTCTGATTTTTCCTTGATAACTTCACTTCAAGTCTTGACTAAATAGTTTGAAATTGGATTCATCGTGGACGCCTGCGCAGTTGTGGTGAGCGTAACCTGATGCAGGTGCTTAGCTCAGAAATTACAGATGCTGGCCTCATGTCATCTGCCACACATGTGGTGGGAACGAACGATGTTCATTAATTTGTTCGAGTAAATTAATCTTATTACGAAAGCTGCGCGTTAATTCGGCATGTTCAGCTGCCAGCATCGTGGCCGACCGTGACGATAAAGTATAACTTCGATCGCATTATATCGCAATATAGGAGATGAATTGCAGCACTTTTACGCGAGTCGGTTGCACGATAATGACTCAGTTGTTTTTTCCAGTTGGTCGAGTTATCGGACAAGAAATATAGAACTTGTTCACGCCTCTCAAACAACGATTCTACACTTTACAAACTACCAGGACAAAGACAATTTCACGCTTTACAGACAACACCGTTACTCCCAAAATTTATGTAAATATCAACACATAAAATATTTGCTGCTATGATACTAATGCAACTACAATAATGATTCTAATAGCAATGATACTAATATGATACCACAAATTATACCATATGTACATTAACAACCGTGTCCATGTCATGACCACGTATTACAATTCTGTACTTGCACGAATAATCATGTACGTTAATGAATAACTCTGTACATCAGTGAACAATACTACCCAATGTATGTATACTGCTACTCTTGTGGCTCTTCAACAAGCGTAGATGTTATCCATGTATACGGATCAAAGAGCCGTATGCTATCTGCATGCTAATGACGCTGCTGACATTGATACCCATATCCCCTTTCTTACGCCATCCTCAAAGTACACCAATTTCCTTTACTTTTAACTCAATTTCTCTCAAGATTTTTACTCAAAAGGCTGAGATTTGTATTTTATTTTAGCTTATACAAATAAGCTCACATTATTAGGTATATCGGGAAGTAGCAGCAAACTTTCGCACAATCCTTACTCCGTACACTTGCAGAGACACAGTTAGCATGTATTCTAATATTATTAGCATACATATTACAGTAATACCTGTAACTAAAATGTGTAATAAATGATGTAGAAATTTGCTAAGCTAATAACGCAATCTTTTGCCTTGCGCAGAATGAACGCCGCCGCTCTCAAGCGTCTGTTGTCGGCGCTGGCGTACGGACTGTGCAGCTTCCTTATAGTGGTCTTCAATAAGAATGTCCTCACCACGCACAGGTGAGGCACAGCCCGCTAATGATGAGGCACAGCCCGCTAATGGTGAGGCACAGCCTGCTGATGGTGAGGCACAGCCCGCTGATGGTGAGGCACAGCCTGCTGATGGTGAGGCACAGCCCGCTGATGGTGAGGCACAGCCCGCTAATGGTGAGGCACAGCCCGCTAGTGGTGAGGCACAGCCCGCTAATGGTGAGGCACAGCCCGCTAATGGTGAGGTACAGCCCGCTGTTGGTGAGGCACAGCCCGCTAATGGTGAGACACAGCCCGCTAATGGTGAGGCACAGCCCGCTAATGGTGAGACACAGCCCGCTAATGGTGAGACACAGCCCGCTGTTGGTGAGGCACTGCCCGCTAACTGTGAGAGGTACATCCCGCTAATGGTGAGGCATGTCTGTAATAAGAACGTCCTCATCACACACAGGTGATGTACAGCAGCGTTTCTGATCTTGCTGTATATTCATCTATATTTCTTCAGTTGCGCTTGACGAACAAGCACGTTTTCACCCCCACGCTACGAGCGCACTCAGTCATTGCTTGACTGCAGTCTGGCTCCCAGGGACCTGGACTCCGCTTATTTACTTTGTCTTGAACAAACGGAGAGGCGGCACCTTTGAAACTACACTGAGCGCAATGAATTTAAGTTAATTACCTGGCAATAGCTCATAAGTGAAATCATCAGCTGCCAATTTGAAATGTATGAAGAAAGAAAATAGATTTTTAAAAATGTGACGAGGTAGCCCGATAATTTATGAGTAGTGTCAGCCATGCGAAATTTCGGACTGGCTTCTTCTCAAAAAATGTAAATTTTCTTGGAGCCACGGAGCAGTTCCATGACTTGCATGTTTGCCTCATGCGAACTGCGTGTCAATGAACCTCGAATACTCTCAGTGGCAACTAGCCGAGCTAAGCCAGAAATTTAAAATTAATCGCTTAATAACTTTACTACTGTGAATTACTGGTAAAAAATTCGTAATTCTAAACTGAGGAAGGGATTTTTTCTGCTGCTTATGAGCATTCGTACATTTCAATTTAAGGCAATAGACACACTAATATCATGTGGCTATTTATTGCGGAAGCACTCCAAGGTTACTTGATGGAAGTAGAAACCTTTTTCCTTTTGTGTGTGTCATTGGCTGTGGGCTTCCTGTAGTTATGCGTGATGATGCATTAAGATGAGATGATGCTGGTCATTGGCCGATCACATCATCTATACTGGCTGGGTGGATGACATCAGCTATGGTTCTCCCATTCTCCTCCCCGTCGCCGTGGGGCGACGCGTGGCATTTCCGAGGCGAACAAGGCCGTCTCTTGCCTGCCTTAATGAAGTAAACCGAAGTATAATGTGCCGGTTAAATATGCGTTGCCGTGCAAACATAAGGCTGCATCTGTGAGGATAAACCTCGACACGGATGATGCATGTGAGAAGGTTATTTTATATACGGACGATGCATGTGAGAAGGTTATTTATGTTTTCGACAGTAACGCCCCGTAACCCTCGCAAGGCGGGATTAGATAGCAATATTTGAGGGCAATGCGTAAAACGATGAAATGTTCCGACGAGTCATGATATGGCATTTTAATTAGAAATTTCGATGAAACTCGCATTATTGCGAGCATTTCATGATTATTATCATCATTAACTCACTTCATTGTGAACCGCATTCCTGCATCCGTGGACCACTTGTAATGTGCTGCTCGTATCGTTATGCACAGGTGTTCCCTCCATGAAAGAATCGTTTCCGTGACAGCTGCCGTGCTGGCTACATTAATGTTCAGTTTCACGTGTATGACATATACATTTTTTACTCAGGTATCCCCAGTAAATAAAAGATTAATTAATTATTCAGGATCGCGAGAGCTGCTTCCTGAGAGCTCGCTGTGTCAAGATGATTGTGCTATGCAAATCATCTTCGCGTTAATTGAAGAAAGAAATATGAAAATATTCTTGGAACATTAGTTCAGAATTACCAGCTTTCCTTTAAAAATAAGATCTATCTTACCATCTATCTGCTGTTCAATAATTTTTCTTCAATAATTGTTTATACGCAATAGCAGCTTGATTTCACTGCATTGACAGGACGAAATGTAGGACCTGTAGAATAAAATACTGAATTTTGTAAGACTCGAGTACCTGACCACTGAAGTCTTGCATTCCAGGCTGTAGGTACCTGGTATAACTTTTAGCCTATAAGGTTTTATTATCAACAAAGGTTTAAGCCTAAGGTTTTATTATCATCAAAGTATCATTAAAATGATAACATAATTGTCACGCAGCACGCATGTAGCGCTATTACATATTACATGCCAGTCGTGCAAATTTGTTGAAAACTATGAAGTTTTGTCTATTCTGTAACCGTTTTATATCTTGCACATTTACGGGATTATTTATGTATTTATTACTCGCATTAATGAGTGTTTTTTTAAATATAAGTTTAAATGATCTAGAAATCTCGCTCTCGCATCTTTCTACTGTGCGTGTTTACGTTCCGACAGCGGGGATCAGTCGTCGCGGGTTAGGCCTTTTACGTCAACTGCACAAAATCCATCGCCGCAGTTACATCTTGCCTATTTCTTAGCTTACCATCGATTCTTTCTTAGTAATAGTTACATTTTCAGCTTATTATTGTTTATTTTTACGGATGCTATGCTACTTTAGTGCCCATATACTATCCGCAATAAATTTGTCGTGGGCACCTGTACCATCATAAGGAAACGAACCGCGTCAGCTTTCACTGAAGCGCCAGAAGCTGGCAGGGAGAGTGAAGGTCACGGCTTGTGCCTGCACCACATACCGATCCCTCCGATGCCTTGAGGCTGGCCAGGGTCATGACAACCTTAATGGTACAATCGAACTGAGTCTTACCTTCATCATCGTCTGCCAATAACCGGTTCCCTTCACAGTATTTTCGTGCAACGAGGTGGATTGTTTGCAGTCTGGAAACCAATTGCCAAGCAATTATGTTGAAAAATTAGCCAAGCCAAATGGTCGTCAGCTATAATCAGACTCTCGAAAATGTTCACCGTAATAAGAAACGTGGTGATCGTTTAGTTTGGTCGTTGCACTTGCTATTGGTGATATAGCTTTTACAATGTGTTGCTGGGTTCGCGCAAATAAAATAAAGTGACAATTATCTGTAAGTATCGTACCTCTTGGCTGAAATACCACAATCGCCAACATCGCAAATCTATTCATGTTCTCGCAGTAAGTACTTCAACGTTTATCTCAAAATTATTAACGTGTTACTCTAAATTATCTTGCTGAAAATTTTTGGCTCTGGTTGTAAATTGTTGGAACGGTTTCCTCGGTCGCTACTGCGGCTCAGCTGTAGGCCTATGCTCGGAACTCTGGACCAGGATTTGTAACAAAAGCTGCGTGTCTTTGCGTACGTGTCTCGTCATACACAAATCTTGATGCATGTCCCTGCGTTCGCGGCGTTGTGGAGTATTTAGATAATAAATAAATAGCGGCCACCATACATACAGGAGTCAGGTGCGTCTACAATTGTTGGGCTAGCGCTGATCTAAAGGTCTTGTTGAGAGTCTGAATAATAGGATGGTTGGTACAATCAATAAGAAATAGACGTTACGCCATGGGCGATGAGTTCGACTGTGGGAACTGAGAGCAGTCTCGGAATGCCGGAATGAGACTGGATGCTCATCAGTAGTGTTAACGCCAAGTAATAATTAAACAATTTTATAGTCAATCACCATTTGTGTCGCAAAGATGACAATTCTTACTAACCTGAAATGATCAAATAAGGAAGTGACGTTCTATCCTTCTGTCCGCTGCTCTTTCATCGTGTCAATAGACCGACATCTATTGATGCTAGTCAGCTATAAATGCTGATGCTGCATCATGCCAAGTCTATACCCTGCCATTGAAACGTTGCTCGCTCTCTTCTTCCTCAATAGGGATCGGAATAAGTATCTGCACAAATGTCTAAAATTCTCTTACGCCGACTGAAAATGTATTGTTTGTGAGCGCAAAATAAGTTTGCTCCTCCTTTGTATGCATTTTTTTAGAGCGTTATAAACAGCTTTGCTCAGCAACTTAGTGTCAAGTGAAAAGCTAGAGGAATGTGATGGTCCGTATGTATTTATCGGACTCTTTAACATGTCACGTAATCGAGTGAATCGCTATTTATTTCATTTGTTCTACGGTTACCGTCTAAACCGACCTGCAATGTTACAATTAATATTCGTGCATTAATTTGTACCACGTTTTGAGTGAGATTCCACAAAAAAAACGAATCTTATGCATATTTTAATGCTTGTTCTAATGAAGTTTTTTATTCCTTCGTTGCAGTTTTCCATCGTTTCAAGTGGTGGCGCTTGGTCAGGTACGTTCGTTGAAGTGACATTTTTCTAACGTACAACGCAAACTCGCCCGATCAAATCACACAAACAGATCCATTAGCAGTCGTTTTAAACAAATTTATTTTATATTGTCACTACTGTTTTGTTTGTTTTTACAACTTTGACAAGTTTTTAATGCAAGATTAAGTACTTGTTTATATGCACTGGCAGCTGCAAGCCAACTTTCAATCCTGTCACCAGAACAGCACCATTGTCTCCCTGACAAATGGCGGCCACCGGTATTTAATATTGTCACAACATTTGTTCCTATTACTTTGACAACTTGTAAATGCGAGATTAAATACTCGTTTATATGTAGTGGCAGTTGCAAAGAACTTTCAACCCTGCATGTTGCCAAAAATGCCCCAATGTCTCCTTAACAGATGGCGGCCACCGTCATGGTGCTGTTCGCGGGCCGTCACCTGAAGATCGTCGACTTCCCTCACTACAGCCACGACGTCGTCACCAAAATTTGGCCGCTGCCGCTCATCTTCATCGGCAATCAAGTGTTCGGCCTGGGCGGCACCAAGCGCCTCAGCTTGCCCATGTTCACCGTGCTGCGGAGATTCTCTATCCTCATGACTATGATCGGGGAGAGGATCGTCCTCGGGTGAGCTGGGCCTCAAACATGTTAAAATTTAGTGCCGGAAAGGGTAGACTAATATTGTAATTTCTATATCCGTGGTCAATAATAAAGAATGAAATTTTTGATGTTAGAAAATTGTGTGTGTTGTTTTTAAGAAAGAAAAACAATTCATTGATGTTCCCCCAGCGTGAAGGCCCCTCTGTCGATCTCCCTCACCGTGTACGCCATGATCTTCGGTTCAGTCGTCGCCGCCCTGTGAGTACAGGTCTCAACATCATCTCATTAGCCACATTAAACTAATACAGCATTAGTTGGTGGGCACTTCTTTGCGTGGAGAATAAAGTATGCGGGGTCCGGTAATTGGGTTACGAGATAACTCATTTGTCGTTCGACGGGACAAATGATTTGCCACTCGGTTTTCTTTTTTCTCATTAAATAAAATATAGGATGAATGAACTGAACGTAATTGAAGTGACGACAACCCTGAGATTCAATTCAGTTAATTTTAATTTTTCTTAAGATTTTTTGGTAAGTTTACCTTTAGAGATTTCGCGCTCCTAGTGGCATGGTTCCTTAGCGCCCTATACAGAGCCAGCGGTATCGGTCGTAGCTGTGGGGTTAGCATCTTACTCAGGCAGGCTTTCTTGCATTTATCTTCTCCCTCGTCCTGGCGATGATCAACATCGCGTGTAAATGAAGTCTTGTTCAATGATCTACTTTTCTGTTGTTTAAATGCCCGTCTTCGTTGTTCAATTCAATTAAATTAAAAATGCTAATCAAATTAAATGCTAAGGCAGTTTCTTACTCACCACCTGCAGCGGACTGTTTATTAGAGACCTTTTGTCTCATTTTGTTGGTGGATAATTTGTAATTTTGTTGCCGAAATTAATAATCCGGACCTTCTACCCTGTTGGTGATGAACATTTGTGACTTTAGCGAGATATGTTCATAGCTAGTCGCTAACGTTGGCACAGACTTTCTTTGGCTTAGCCAGCGGAGGCATTGAGAAGCGTCTTGAATTTTGGCTTTAATCATCCTTCAAACACACAGTGGATCTGAAGAGAATGACGGTAAAATAAATCAAAATCTGGCTAAATATGAGGAGAAATGAACAAATAGATAAAAAAAGAACAGTAAAATAATGCCCCTCGATGAATAAATCTCAAAATTGATCACAAAATAACTTGCGTATGGGCTTGGTCCTGTATATCTGAATCCTGAATAATGAAAAATTTTCACCGATGAATTTGCTTCCCCGAAAGGTTCTAAGCGTGCAAGTTTTATTGATAAATCGACTAGAATACATAGAAACTAATACTGAAGAAAGGAAAAATAAATTCTGTTGCACAGGACAGTCACCATACCTAGCGCCCACTGTACCACATGTTTTGTAATATTTTTGTCTTAATTACCGTGGAATATTTTTTCCTCGTGCAGAAACGACATGGCTTTCGATGCTATTGGCTACACGTTTGTGTTAGCGAACGATGCGTTCACTGCCGCAAATGGCGTCTACACAAAACAAAAGCTGGACAGCAAGGAGCTGGGCAAATATGGCTTGCTTTACTACAACGCTCTCTTCATGTTCCCCTTCCTCTTTGTTCTCTGCTGCTACAATGGCGAGCTGGAACTGGTGAGTAGTACAACCACTGCATTACACGTCAAACATCATTTTTGTGTGATGGAAGAAACTGAACTGTGTTGCACGGAAACGATACCACAAACTTTGTTTGCGAAAATTATTCCTAAGAAAATGCACTCAGTTTCAAAGTTTCTCTACAATATCCATGATCTTATTGTGCGACTCTCGACTTCTTCGACTGTGAAGTATAACTTATGGATTTTTTCAGGCCTACAACTATCCGAATTGGTCGGATCCAATATTCCTGGTCCAGTTCGTGTTATCCTGCGTGATGGGCTTCATCCTGAGCTACTCAGTGATGTTGTGCACGCAGTACAACTCAGCTCTCACCACCACCATCATCGGCTGCCTCAAGAACATCATCATCACCTACCTCGGCATGATCATCGGCGGCGACTACGTCTTCTCATTCTACAATTTTATTGGACTCAACATCAGGTGAGGCTCGATCTTTATCTTCTTTTAAATAAAATAAGTTTTAACTTCATAACGTTCTTAGTTTTTTATTTATTAACAAATTAAAAGGGTTACTTAATTCTGAAACACCCTGTATTAGTAAATGCCTCAGCTTTGGGTAGTCAGATTTTTTTCAACTTCTTGGTGTAAATGTCATACGAGCGTCGTTTCCCACAGCATATCATTGCACTATGCATACATTTTCAATGTAGACCACACTATGCATACATGCATAAGGGTACCCACACAGTCAAAGCAGGTTGCCAGCGTGCTGGTTACCTGCTTAGGCTAGCGCCTGAAATGGAAATAAATAGGCCTGGCGCTGGCCTATTCGTACAGGTTTTCACTGTGAACACTTACATTATTATCCTATGTTCATTCTTGTGGCAGGTTGCCCGCGCGGGCAAACATGCTTTCACTGTGTACGTACCCTGAGACGTATGTGATTACATCATTACCATGTCCCGCAGTGTGGTAGGCAGCGTCGTCTACTCGTGGCTGACGTTCCGCGTCAAAGAACCCAAAGACCAGCCGCCGGTCCTGCAGAGTGCCCCCACCACCGTGTGATGTACGGCCCCACCACCGTGTGATGTGCAGCCCCACCACCGTGTAATATGCAGCCCAGTCACCGTGTGATGTGCGCCTCCACCACCGTGTGATGTGCGCCTCCGCCACCGTGTGATGTACGCCTCCGCCACCGTGTAATGTGCGCCTCCACCATCGTGTGATGTGCTATGTACTTTGTTCAAGTGTGTAAATAAATCGCAAAGTTGACTCGTGACAGCAATGGTGGAAAAAATGCTGGAAATGGAAACAAAATCCAGAGAAGTTAGACCAGTAGACATTGTATTGCTTATTTCTTCTGCTCACTCTTGAAACTATGAAGTATTATGAAGTGTACGTATAATTGAGCTCGTACATTAGCTGTTGTGTACAGAGATGTGAAATTATCTGACCTACGTCGTGGCAGCGTAATGTCTCGTATGCAACTACTTACTCGCCTAAGTCGAATAGGAATTACTAGCATAATCTAATGGTGTGCCTTATTATTGCTTGATATTTGTGATCACTTCTGTATCGTGTACCGCTAAGATATAGAAATCTCATGAGCTTGCCTGATGTTGAATAACTGTACAGAATTTATTTAGATAATTTTATTTAATGGAAGCAGTACGCGCTGCGTACTTAGCGTGTACTGCGTTAAATTAGAAGTATTAATTATATTTTTATATCTGAAGCTATTTTACGCAGGGCATTCAGGCGGGCTTTCCTAAATTATACACGTCAACCTACAAGCTAGCGTGTAATTCAAGGAGTCCGCACTCGCCTCCATCGTGTAATGCGTGTTGCGTGTATAGGGCTACTTACCATGTCAGAGATGCGTGTAACGTGTGCCTTGCTTTTTACCATGCCAGAGATGCTCGAGGCGGTGTTGCGTGTGCCTCGCTACTTACTAGGCCATGATTACTTCAAGCTCAGTTTCCACGGAGTGCCAAGGTCGTTTTTTTACTATGATTATAGTTTTTCTGGTCCTTCATCTCCTGTAAGGCCAGGAGATGTAGGTAATTATATTTTCTATGTATGCTTGTTTTAATAATTTCAATATATAGAAATGACCATTTATTGACACGTCTAAAGCTTTTAAAGACTTGCTGTGTGTGGTGTAAGCACTCGGGGATGCATCGTTTGTATTGCTTTGTTTGTATGTGCCTGAAATTGCCATGATTATTGTCCTGCCAATGGTCCCTGTTACCAATCATTGGTTTTTATAAAGACTAACGGTGCAATTTGTTACACTCAATATATTTGGCTTAATCTGTGCATTATTCCTTCACTCAAGTACTGTGAAAACGTTTATTTTTCATTGAATGACGGCGAAGTAGCGTTTTTTTTCTTTTTTTTTTCTTAACGATTACATTGTGAGAAAAATCCTACGAATTATTATTTCTCTATAATTTAACAATTGCGCTGCTTCGCCAAAAGTATAGTGCATCATAATGGCAATGCATTTTTCGCCCTTGCATGGGTCGTTCTGACACAGTTTGACCATTCAAAAGGGCATTTCAGTTCTACGTCCACTCGCTGCCCAGCTGTGGGTAAGAAAGTGTCAATTTAGACAATATGAGCAATTCCTTTTTGTGAGTGATGCTTGTGATTCTTCGAAGCATGAACGTTTGCGTTGCTCAATGCTCTGATATCTTTGTGCTGCCATGCCTGCTCAAGTGCAGCTATCAGCTACATCAATATAATATATGGACGGCGGCTCAAAACTAACGTGGGTTGCTTTTCATCCAAATGTAACAGGATGATGTTTGTGTCGTGAGGATCTGATCGCGACTTTTATCTTTTATTTTGTGCCAATTACCTGCAATTTAATTTACACCCTTTTCTGATGACTGTCCATTTCTATGGGCTTGCCGGCCCTGATCGCGTGCAATTCAGTTCAGATTTAAGGTGCGGTTCACTGCGAGTCTGTAAGGTCCTTAACTATGCTGACGCATCAAAATACCACTTTGCTTTTTGTGCTCGCAAGCTCTTCGTTGTAGTGAATAGCCTTAGGAGGTTAATTTGCGAGCAATTCATGCTTCAGTCGTTAATATTGTGATATTGTTAGTTTCTCTGTTCTTCTAGCTGTTTGGTGAGGTTTTCAACTGTAGATCAAGAGTCATGAGCAAGAAAGGAACCTTGGCTGCCAAGGACGACTTTCCTGCCGACTTGCGTAATACTGAAGTGGCGCTCCAGCGTGGCCTGGGACTGCTACGTTCGAAACACAAAAACTAAGAATACTATGAATTATTTACCATTTCCTTTATGGGCGTTTCTACTTTTCAACAAATATTCCGTCTATAAATACGAAATATTATCTTAACTTGTGAGGTCAGCTGCTTTCAAGGCCTGTATTTTACAGGGCTAGTTCTATTGCTGTGTTGTGCAATGCCTCAATTCTGCGGTATATATCACTCATTTCGACAATTTATTGCGTCTAGATGTACTTTAGAGAATTGAAATTAAACAATTGTGCATTTTTTACCTAATTTTATGCTTCTATTTATTTGTTTAGTTTATGAGTTAATACGTTAAATGATGTATTATATTACGGTACATCTTGCGTCAATTTATCATGGACATTTCGATATCTGCTCTTACCGTTCTGTCATAGTCCACTTACCCTGCGCTCATTTTAAATCTTAAATTAAATGTATTCAAATGATTTCTGTTGAAGATTGCTTGCCCATTCATCTTGTAAATATGCAAGTTCTGCTACGGCTGCGCTATGAACGCGTTTTTGATATTATGCAAGAATGTCTTTGCACACAGTTTTGTTCAGCAGGGAGTGTTTAAAGTAAGCGTTTTAATTTTAATTTCGTGGTGCAAGCTTACATGTACTCAACTGAATAATTAGTAATTTTACTGTGCAGGAATTTGTACTTTGCAAGTTGACGCCCATGGTGTGTGTTTCAGTGTGTCAGTTGGCGGCTTGTTACGTTCCATTTAAGGGGCTATGTCACAGGAAGGAAGCACATGTGTTACATTTCCAACCGTTCGTCGAGCCCCAGAACTTTCTTGAGGAGGCGGGCATCAATTGACGTGCAACAATTGTCTGGTTTTCTTTCAACATTGTTTGATGCCATAAAAACTTGTAGTAGTAATAATTGTTGAAGGTTCAGAAATCGCTTGACTGGTGCGTACCCGGAATTTCATTTTAATACGTTACCTATTTTATCACAGAATTTAAAAATGCATTAGACGGTTGTGACTGCATCCTTCCAAATCTTCATCTAGTTACCTTTATACTGACATGATCGATGTCTTGGTTCCTCATGGTGGCTGAAGAAAACCTTGAGTGCTATACCAGCAGCTAATGAAAACAGCTATGGCTCTTATTCCTTGATTGTGCGAAGAGCGGACATGGCACTACTAACCTTATGCTCATTCGTGTTGTTTTTCCAGCTGTTGTCCTCTAAGACTTGAGTAATGAAAGTGTCCATGAAAAGCTAATTCCGTTTTATTAAAACTACCAAAACATAACAATCCTCAAGAAGACATGAAAGAAGTTCACGTGAGTACCTATTACACCAATCAGCACAGGTACGTTACTTATCCCCAACCCACCACGACAGCTGTGCGCATTACTATGCCGACCATTGCAAAACGGAATCGATGCGTGACGATGCGTGAACTAAGGTCGCGGAAATTCATGTCTAATAACTTATAGGTTCATATGACGGCAAGACTTTCACGAAATACCTGAAGAAAAATTATGCTATTCTTCCCGTGAGGAGCCTCCTAAAAAAAATTGTATCTCGTAATATGCATCACATTTAAGCCGGTAAACACAACATTGTCATTCATACACTGAGATCACTCCTAAAAATTCATTCTTGTCCTCATAAAACAACTAAGATGGCGATAAGCGAATAACAAAGAATGCAGAAAAGTTACCTTAAACACTTCAAGCATTAGGCAAGGAGCATCACCCGAGTGAGATCCAGTATTTGATTTAAACTATCTCAACTATTGCTGCTCGTGGAGGATGGAAACGCTGGGGCTACTTCTGGGCTCTCGCCGTACATGCGTCCACGACCGAAAATGATTCTTACCGAACATCCTGCATTGGTATACACGCTGTAAAAAAGCGGCTGATGCAAGAGTTAAAATAAACCAAATTCGAATATGAGCGACCAGGCAGATATTTATGTAATACAACTCCAGACTGATTGTCCTTTTCCTACAGTTTATCCTTTCTCGAACATCACTGACTAGTATATTAATGAAACTAATAAAGCAATTACAATGAAAGGAAACCTCTCGCTACCCCAATTGACAGTCTTCCAAAGCAGGTACAACTGAACTTATTTTTTTAAATAATGACAAAACAACTTATAGGCTATTCGATGATACTGACGCGAGGCCTTGAGGCCACCTGATGGTAATGACGTGAGGCCTCGAGGCTACTTGATGATAGTGACACGAGACTACCAGATGATAATGTCGCGAGGCCATCTGATGATTATGTGAGGCTATCTGATGATAATGACGCGAGGCCTCGAGGCTACTTGATGATAATGACACGAGACCTCCTGACGATAATGTCGTGACGCCATCTGATGACAATGACGCGCGGCCTCGCGGTTACTTGATGATAATGACATGAGACCTCCTGACGAAAATGTCGTGAGGCCCTCTGATAATGAGGACAATAGGCCATCTGATGATGTTGTGAGGCCATGTGATGATAATGAAATGATGCGTGGAGGCTACCGAATGGTCTGGTTGCTACGGAGCGCCAGCGAGGTGAAGGCACACGGCGCGTAGACGGCTATGGGCGCGTCCCGGACCGGCGAATGGATCTTGATCTGACGGATGTGCGTGTCGCGGCCGTTCTGGTGGTTCGACAGCACCGCGATCTGTACCATGTACGTGTTGATGCCGGGCCGGTCCTTCAGGTCCTGTAGGAGTAGCGTGCTTGTTAGGGTAATGACGTGGTACGTTGCTACAACAAATTAATATTTTGGGAGTGGTAGGTTGGTAAATGGAGCTTATATGGATGGTGGTATGACGGTACATGAAGCTCGTATCATACAGGGAGTGGTACGTTTGTACTTTAAACTCTAATCAAATGTCCAATTGGTACGTCTGCACTACCAACGTTGTGCAATAATTTGTTACTCATGGAGGTAGCAAGTTCGTCTTTCCAACTCACCCAATATTGGAGAAGCGCATTGAAATCTGAACGTCATTCGATATTTGGGAGGTTTGTTGGTACTTGTACCTCGTTAGTAAAAACGAAGAACGTTCAAGAACTAAACGTTTTTTGAAAATGTTACAATTTTAAAATAGAAATAATCACATAAAAAGTAAAAATTCAGAACAACAGCAGAAGGAAAATAAAAGGACTGATATCGATTATAACTTCAGAGTAATATTGAATATTTCTATCTAGTTTCTCCACAACCACACATATTTTTTTATTCAATATTAACATTCTACTTAAAATCTTTCCAGCTTTATTTCATTCACACCTTCCCGTTTACGTTATTGATCCAATAGAATACGTTAATGATATCCAATATCCCCGTTTATGTTATTGATTCAATAAATTAACGCTCCTGTTGCCTTCATTTCCGGACACGCCCTATGCACTCTGGACATAGGGTCGATAGCGCAGGTCATTTTGACCCCAAAGACACCAAGAGGGTAGACCCAAAGACAACAAGACCCGAAGACAACAAGAGGGTAGACCCAAAGACAACAAGACCCGAAGAAAACAAGAGGGTAGACCCGAAGACAACAAGACTCGAAGACACCAAGAGGGTAGAGATTCACGCGCCTCACCTTAAGAGTGATGAGGAGCCAGCCCGTGGGCTCCTTCAGCTCGACCACCTCCACCTCCAGCAGGTCGTTGAAATGGCTGCCACAGCGCACCGAGATCCTGCACACGCAGCAAGCACGTACAATTCTTTTTTTTTCAGGTGCTGCGCTTATCACAAAATCTACGGCCAGAACTAGCAATATGGATCAAAAACATCCGTATATCGTCGAAAATACCAAAAATTACTTCCAGAACCCTGTTGTTCGTGAAAGACACGAGATGGTGTACATTATTCCGGTACATACTTATAGAACAAGTGCGCGAAAATTATCTGAAAGAAATCAAAGGCTTCCAACAGTTTTGTAATACAACATAAGAACTGCTAGATTATTCACGCGTAAGCCCTTTTAACTCAGGATCTTGTTTGGCCATAAGAAGAGTTCGTGACTGGTGGGCAACTTTGCCATCCGATATTACAGGCTTTTGTTGAAAAAATCCATAAACTTACTGGGCATGTAACTCTCATTCGCTTTATGTTCAGCATACACCCAGAAGCACTGGATTGTGGCTGGCAGAAAGATGATGAGTATAAGGGGAAATGGCTACAAACCTGCTGGGCGTGTAGCTCTCATCTGCCTTGTAGTTAGCATAGATCCAGACGTCTTGTATGGTGGTCTTGCGGCGGAACTGGATGTTGACGAGGTGAGGCTGAGGGCCATCACTCTGCCAGTAGCTCTCCAAGCAGTTGTCGCGCAGCTGCTGCACTCCTAGACCTGTACACACACTTGAATATTAGCAGTTTAACAAGTATACTTTCAAGAATAGATAAGCCAAAATTATCATGCAAATAACTGATATTTAAGCGCAAGGCACACAATGTTCATTACAAGACCGGTTTAAAACGCACATATATTACAAATGTTACAAGTAAAAACTACTCACCATGAGTAGTTTTTCATGAAATCACTATGAAATCATTTGTCTACAATCGTCTGAATTAATTATGCGAAATCCTTCAATGTGAAGATCAAGAAAAGAGAAATGAGCATCATTTTGCGCTGCAAATTATCCTTCCAAAAGAAATATTTTGCTTCAACTCTCAGGCCCGAGCACGGGAAAATGTCGGGATTTGGATCTTATATATAGTTTTATATGGCGATTATAAGGTTAATTAAGGTGATTTTGTAAGCAAGTTTGCCCCTGAAAAAAAAAGCTGTTATTTCTCACCAGGCTTGCAGGAGGACAGAGACCAGACTGCCTGTGAGCCGACCTCCCTCACGCGCCCCGCCCGCTCCTCCTTGCTGGGGTCGAGCTCCTCTGCCGCGGTGCCCGCCACAGTGCTACGTGCGCTCTGGTTCAGGGACATCTCCTCTTTGGTCCTCGTTAACCTTGGTGCTCTTCAACTCAAGTTAGTATCGTTATATCTTCATCAAGATTTTATATCGAAAATAAGTACCGGTACTAAATTTACCTTATTATTTTTCAAGAAGTACGTGCTCCTGAAATGCGATTCTCTTATTACATTCTGAGTTGACTGAAAAAGATTTCCGGAAATGTATATACATTTCATACGCAATAAAAATTATGACATTACAAATGTTTTCAAAAGATTCAGACAGTTTAACAAAACGAATTTTTTCGTGCATTAACCTGCTTACCATTCATATTAATGCTATTAGCACTTTTATGAATGACACTAAATTATTTTCGCAAAGGATCAGTTGCCTTCTCGCTTACCACGTCGTAAAAATGCAGTGATATTTAATGATTGCATTCAAGCTTCAATTCAGAAAAAGTGTTGGTAGATTAGTACACAAAATTAGGAAAGGCTCAGGTGGCGAGGGTTGCCACTCCCTCTGGATCTCAGCTGCACCGCTGACAGTGCACAAATCAGTGTGAACTCGTAATGCTCCGACATTTTGGGAGAGGCTTCAGGACTGCACGAGAGCTAATATTTCAATATCTATTAAATTGATGAACACACAGCTGACATGTGCATATGCAGCAGTGAGCATCCAGATCCTCCTTAACCTGCTATGCAGTGAAATAAATTCGCCATTCTGGTTCAACATAGCAAAATGAAAATTGGAAAAAAAAATGAGTCGACATTAAGGACAGGAAAAGAAAATCATATTTAATTTCAAAGTATATAGTTATCTACATTGGCTGCAATAGACAGTGTGTGGCTCGTGACACAAGTACAAAGTCTAACACAATGGCCACTTCTATAAGGACTTCCTAGCTTGTTTGAATTGTTACCGTAGAAGGAAACAATCGCCAGAGCAGCTCTATTATATAATTCTGTACAAAAATCGCGCAATAACTTAATAGACACTCTGAATACAGCAAGCTACTCTTCTATAAGGTTAAAATATCAGCATCAGCTGGCCGATGAACTCTCATGTTCACACACAAAGTTCATTTGAAACCGACATTCGCTTTAAAGATACTCTTTGTATTAATACCTTCTGTATTATTTACGTTGTTATTCATGCCAAAGAAGGAAGTATGTGCAGACGATGCTTCATCACTGAAAACTTGTTCTAAGAATTTGCAATGAGCAAACACTTTGAATGCAATGAGAAAAGAGTTTGAATGCAATACAGTTATCAATTGACATGCATTTCGAATTTGGAGCAGCAAATTACATCTTTAGACGTTGAGGGTGTACGGTGGATTGTATGGAACGCCAGGAATTTTGGGCTTCTTCTGGGTGACAGTCACAGACTTCACTTCTCTGCAGACAAAAGAAAAAGGCAATTCTCAAGTGTTTATTTTGATCATTTCAAGAAAAACTATACTCCCATTATTCTTTTATTTCAGACTTTACTTATGCTTTGAAGGAAAAAGTTTTACTATAATGTTCCAAAAATAAGATCAGCCAGAATCCCTTGAAAAACCTTCTTTCCCAGCTTCCCTTGAGGAAAAATGTTAGAAATTCGATGGCAAATAGCTACAAACCAGCCACAACAGTTGAAATTGAAGAACATAACTCACCCTTCTTGAATTTGAGGGACTTCTTCGCCAAGAAGCTTGGTCACTGAGCTTTGGGTTGTGTTGATGGCCACAACTTCATCAGGATTTACCAGTCTTCGCCCATCCCTGATTAACATCATTGTTGGGAAACTTGTTGAAAATTTACAAATTATCCTCAACAAAGTTAAAATCATTTATCTAAGCAACCCAGGTTCGAGTCCCATTCAGGAATGTTTTTTTCAGTAAGTTCAGCTCACAGCCAACATAACTATTCATACAATTCTTGCTGATAAATGAGTACCTGGCCTGATCAGGATGTTATGAGATGTAATAAAAGGTTTCTGGTGGGTCAGTGAGCCAGTGATGGACCAAGTTACCTATGGCCTTAGTGCCTTCAACATCTGATCCATACCCCATACCTCACCAAGTCGCCACTACCAGGATGGGCAATCAGAACTACAATGTAAGGATTAAGCCATCTTTAGTTAACCCTAGGGTAATATTTGCATCCGCAGTCATAATCCCGCCATCAGCCACTCTTGCTCTGGCCGCCAGCGCCATAGGTTAGTAACTTTATGGGTGCTCTTTATGAATAATCTTCACTTATCTGACATGTGATCGTTATGTTCTGTAACTTTGAACATTTAAGGGGCCATGCTGATCTCTCTTGTGTCTATTCCAGTTCCGGTTGGGGAGACTATCTGGTACACTCGAGTTAAGGGCAAGACTCCCCAGGCAGTGTTATCATTGGGCCTACAAGACGTCAGTCATCTGTGCTTCTACCGTCAGTCGTCTGTACATCTACCATCAGTCGTTTGTAACTCTAGGCAGTCGTCTGTGACTCTACCGTCAGTCGTCTGTAACTCTACCGTCAGTCGTCTGTAACTCTACCGTCAGTCGTCTGTAACTCTACCGTCAGTCGTCTATTAGTTTATAACTCTACCGTCCGTCGTCTGTGACTCGGCCGTCGGCTATCTACACTCCTCCAATATCTTCGACATTGCTTTAAGTATAAAGTCAAGTGTCCATTTTTGTCTATCAGTTTTTATCCCATAAAATTACTGTTTAACTCGTCCATTATTACCTGCCAATTCGATTGATGCCATTCAGCCTCATCGATACCCTTACATACAATACGCATGGGAAACATTCCCAATAAATGAAATCAGATGAAAAACTATACATTCACATGTATAATCAATAAATTTTTATTGTTACCTAGTGTAATAGTAGTTGGAGTGGAGCTTATGACTGCAGCCAGCAGGGAGGTTAGGTGGGGGCTGGTCATGAGCAGATTGCTGCACTGGCCACCGGTTGTTCAGCACTGGGTCACGCTGCACACGAGGAACTTGTAAACGCAAAATTCATTCTAGTCTATAAAATTAGCCTAACTGTGTTTATTATATGTATATAATGATGAAAATAGTCACGTTTTCCAGAACAGTGAATGATCAACAATTATCAGATTATTAATACAAATTCAGGCAGGATCAGCATAAAAAAAGTATCCAAGATAATTGTTTAGAATTTGTGTATTTTGTGCTTAATGATACCAAAAATGATGATGAGAAGAAGCCATTTTTCAAACGCTATATACCTATTTGATAGGATATATACCTGTAATACCTTATACACTTAATGTCTTCACTAGACACTTTGTTTACTTACACCCAGAAGAACAGCTCTCATTTTTTTAAGGAAGGGAGAGACATCCTTAGTAGGAACTCTAATTGGGCCTCTCATGTTGAATTTTTCTAGAAAATAGAGAAAATTATTTTATAATTTAATAAATTCCAAGGTTATGAATACTTAAAAAATGACATAAAAAATTTAATATGCACCTTCATTATAATATAATTGAAAATAATTGAAAAAAATCCTCCTTCTACTGAAATCAGATTGTTTCTTGTATCAAAATAATTGAAGAGGGTCAAGAAATTGCTGATAGTATGAAACTATCAATAGCTTTTATGGTCTTGACTTGTTTCATGGCTTTAAATGACAGGTAAAATATTAATAATTAAATTAGGACTGAGATTATTACTTCTGAACCTTTTGTCTATGGATAAATAAAGTTGTCAATGCTCTTCATACATAAAGGCCTGGGGCTGGGACCACATTTATATGTAAGCAAGAGCCAAAATTAATAGGATGAACTGGTATGCATAGCCTGCCCACAATTGGGTCAGGAGCTGTGTTCATTTTACTACTTTATTATACAGTAAAAATCATCACATCCTGCTCAAGTCATAGCTTGAAACCATTCTGTAAAATTGCACAGAAGCTACCTTTGAATTCAATCTGCAAAATATCAGTAGATTTTTCCAAAGACACGGGTGAAAACCTTCATTTAAAAAGAAACTGTAGGCAAAAATGCATCATTTTGAAATGAAATAAATTAGGAAAAGGTATAGGAACAAGTGAAATTGACCATAAGCGCAGGCATTTTTGTCTCATTCACGGGTTGCTTCTGCCCAATTTTCTAGAATTAGGTACATAAACAAAACAAAAAAGCCAAAATCCAGGATGGTGTAGTTTTCTGTGGATTAATCCAGCGTACACCAGGCTCTTGCACTGGAGTACACCCTGGCAAAAAAGGGAGCTAAAATCATGTAATTAGCATACACTCCCGCATACATCTGCATAAGGTACCTGCTGCAGCTACTGAAAAACCTTGTATCTGCACCAACCATCATCTGTTTCAAACCTAATGTTCTAATGTGTTTTAATGCTTTCTAGTGCAATCTACCATCAAATGGAGTAATAAGGGATGGTTTAAGCATTTTTTGTTAATAACTTCTTACCATGAAACATTTTATAAATGAGTTTGGGCTCATTTTAAAGCTCTTTGCAAGGGTTATCAAATGGCATCTCCAAAAAAATTCATATGCTATTTGGAAGGTGCCACATGCAAAATAACAGCATCCCAAATTACCCCTGGAAACAGGGTAATCCAGGACACTTGAAATAAAACTCAATTTTAAAATGTTTGAAGCATGGAAAGTGTACTTATCCATTACTAACAGTACTCTGAAGTCCTCCTCTTCCTTTGTAGACGTAGAATAAATGACTTTTTTTGTGTTTTTTTACTTGTTTTTCTATTATTGACATGATATTACCATATTGTAGGTGCTGGCCCTCATTATGGTGTTTATCACTTGCTAGTAGTCCAAGTTTAGTTATAAGGAAGTGATACTCTTTTTAAGCTTTAGCATTCAATAGAGATATAATTAAGTAGTAGAGTGAATCTTTTTAACTGGTGTTTTAATGCTGCTGGTTCAGCCAATACAGATTTGTGCATTTCCTTTAGGCTTCAGCTAGCCCTATCTCAGTCATAACTTATCAATTTATTTGCACTTATTTTTGTGTTTTCGTTATGCAATAACCCATGTTTTGTCTTTTTCTCCCTGGTGTTTTTACAGTTAGAGAATTTGCAATGTTTTGTTGTTCTAATGGCCGACTAGCATTTCTGAAGCTTTGGACAGTGGTTGACCTGGTGAGTCCTCCTGTCACCACTCGTTTGAGTTAATGATGATTGGGTTGCAACAAACATTAGTTTGGCTGATGAACATCAGAGCTTCATCTGATTAGCCTCAGTCTGATGGATATATAATATTATATACCACTTGCTTGATCGATTAACAGTTTTGGTACTTGAATTGTTTTGATAATGTTATTTAATCTTGCTTTGCATTTTAATGCTAGTCCATCAGTTAATGAGTATATTTGTTTATAATGATTGCGCTAATGAAGGTTTTTCCAAGGTTCTTCAATTTACCCTTTTTAAACAAGCTAATTTTTTTGCGTTATTTCAGGGTTCTTGGTTTGGGCAAGACACTTGAAAGTCTGTCACTTATGCACCCCACTTTTTCTTTTCTATTGTTTACGATTGTATGCTTCATTTCTTTTGTGTTTATATTTTCTTGTCAATCACGCTCCGTGTTTCATTTTCCTTCACCCCATGGCTAAACCAAACCAGAGATGAAATGTCGAGCAGAGTCAGATATGGTTGAAACCTCTCCGCCTACAATATCTCTCGTCAGACAAATGTACAAACTTCATACTTTGACTTCACAGACTGCCACCTCCCAACTGTCCCTTTCTTCCTCACCCCCCCCCCAGATCTTTCCACTGCCCCCAGGGGCACAATATTGCCCACTTTGGGAATCACTGGTCTAATCACACTCTGCAATAATGCCCTATCAACTTAATTTGTAGTCCTAAAAGGACTACGACTACAGCAAGGTGTATTGTTATTTAGTGTAAAGGTGTATTGTTATTAATGTATTGTTAATTAATTTTAATTAATTAATTGTTAATTAATTGTTAATTAACGTATTGTTAATTATTGTTATTAACGTATTGTATTGTTATTAAAGGTGTATTGTTATTAACATGTTGACTACGATTGCTTCATCTTGTACTATTATTTCATTTTTTGTACTGTTTTTAAACAGAGTTGTCAGATGGTCATTTTTTCCAGACAAATTCCGTGATTTAGTTTTTCTCAATTGCATTGTCCGGCTAAAATTCATGATAGGGGTACTTCCTAATTAAATTTTAAATACTGCAAAAAGAAAATAAAAGGAATTTTTATAGCGGAACCTACAAATAAACTAGTATATATTGAAGTTATTGGCCTTTTTGGCCATTTTTGTTCTTGGATTTGGCCGATTTTAGGCAACCTGAATTATGTACCACTACGTCCTGGAGAAATGCATTTTGTGGTACGCATATGTACCACTTCGGAGTCAACATGTTAAGTATTAGTCATGTCCATTTCACTGGTCAGGAGCTAAGCTGTAAAGTAGGGCATTTCAGCTCAAGATATTGGTGTCTTTTCAAGCTCTCCATCAGCCACCTTGACCTTACATTGGCGTCCATGGCCAATTATAAACTATGGCTTGGGCATTCATGATGCTATGGCTCTTCAGCTTGTTTGATTGATTGTATCTGTCACCCGATGCAATGAGCATATGTCTGGTGCGTCCAATGCATTGTGCATACAATCATAATGTGCATACAATCATAATGTGCATACAATCATAATGTGCATACGCCTGGCCCACCTAATGTGCATAGGTCAGGTGCGCACAAGGCAATCTATTGCATTCTAACACAATCTTTTTCATTCTAATGCAATCTCTTGCGTTCTAATGTGATCTATTGCGTTTTAATGCAATGTAACACAACTATTGCGTACTAACATGATCTATTGCATTCTTAAGTGATGTAACGCAATCTATTGCATTCTAAAGTGATGTAACACGATCTATTGCATTCTAAAGTGATGTAACGCTATCTATTGCATTCTAACACAATCTATTGCATTCTAAAGCAATCTAATGTAACCTAATGCATTCTAATTCAATCCAATGTACCCTAATTCAATTAAATGCATTCTAATACATTTTAATGAAATCTAGTGCAATCACGTAACCCTTGATGCATTCTAATATATTCTAATTCAGTCTATTCAGTTTTACTGAATTAGGTTGGCCTGAATTGGGCTGGAATGATTTGATTTGGGTTGAATTGATTTTGATTAGATTGGGTTGGGTTAAATTTAGTTAGGATGATTTGGGTTGGGTTGCATTGGGAAGGATTGAGTTGGGTAGCATTGGGAAGGATTGGGCTGATTTGAATTGGCTTCAATTGAGTTGGGTTGTAATTGCTTGGGATGAATTGCTTAAGATTGTATTGGGTTGGGCTTGGTTGAAATGGTTTGGGTTGAATTGGGCTCAGTTACATTGGGTTCAGTTACATTGGGTTGGGTTTGGTTGCATTGGGTTGGGTTCAGTTAGGTTGGGTTGAATTTGGATGGAATGAATGGAGTGAGGTTAAATTGGGTTGGCTTGGTTTGGGTTTGGTTGGATTGGGTTTGGTGACCTGGCTTTGGATTTGGTACATGCTATGGCGTGTAGTTCAGGTGGCTCGACTAATGATGTAGTCTATTTATTTGAAAAGATTCATAACAAGCTTTGTTATCCATCGTCAGTGCCATGAGGCTCACTCAAGGTAAGCACTCAAATGTACACTCTTGGCAATCAGAACTGCGCACTACAGCACATAGTTCCAGTGGTTCTGAGCATGTTTGCTTGCGTGCTCATATATACACTCTCACAACCATCAGAACTGCATGATACAGCACGTAGTTCCAGTGGCTCTGAGCGCCTATGCTTGGGTGCTCAAATATACACTCACAGCTATCAGAACTGCAAGCTACAGACCCAAGAAATGCAGGTTTGAGGTAAAAATATGGCAATTTTCTCATTTTTTACTAGGATTGATGACTCAATCTATAGAAAATTTTAAAAAATACAAAAAATAACTGGTACGTAATGGCACATCCTAAAATTTCATTTTCAAATTTTGGCTATTATAAATTGTAATTCTTAATTAGTAAGTGGAACAAAAATCCAATTTAATTTTTTTATCCAACAAAGATAAGATAGTTTGACCAGATTGACCTTAGGGTAAACGCAGTATATTCCAACATCATGGGTAATTCCAACACGACTTTTTTCCTTTATATTAAGCTTTGTCTTAGTTCCACGCATTCATTGATGGTTGAAATAGTGACGTCATACTATTGCGCACCATACTACTGCCAAAACACTAGGTCTGGGCCATCTGGCGGGAAAATGTTGAGATCCAAAGAGAGACAGTGCAAGTCACCCAGTGAGAACATCGAAAAATGTGTCAAAGTTGATAGTTGACCTTGCTCTACCAAATAGTGATTAACTGTTTGTGT